TGCCGAATGGAAAATATGCCCCTCTCGAGTGCAGCTATGATGGAGTGATAAATATTTTATATGTTTCGGAGTGGCCTTGAAATAAATTTGCCCATGGGCCGTAGAATTAACCCACATTTATCTTAAAATCTTCATGTGGCTAAACATAGCAGTAAACAAATAGGTATTTTGTTTTAAGAGGAAATAATTTTAAATCTTCTTGGGTATTTGAGCTGGCTTTCTACCTAGGCACCTTTGTTATTAATGATGCCGTTGGCGCCTCTGTCTTCCCGCAGCGTCGCCCTACCCTCCTCAGTTCGCCGGAAGAGGTGGCTATGATCCTTATCGGGGCCAAGGTGTCGGTTTCCCTGGGAAGCCCCGAGGCCGGTACGAATCGCAACTCATGTAAAACAAGTGTACAGGCGCGCAGATCCGTGTAACGTTTAACCCTCTTTTGTAATGTCCTCGTTTGTTATCCTCGGTGCACTTACAAACGAAGTTGTCGTCTTGTACAATTTCACTCGTTGGTTCGCGCTTTTGCTTTGTGAGAATTTGCACTTGTTTTTACCACCGTCACCTGTGCATAAGAATGTTTTTTTTGGTGCATTACGGAAAGTGTGACGAGGGTTGCGTGTTAGCGATTCTGCCCACCAAAGACGGGACACTTGTACTGTTTCACAGTTGAAAAAAGCCCTCCACGTATGCCGCCCAAAAGGGGCTTTTTATCCACCTGATTTGATGGCTGTTTTTGAGCCTTTTTTGAGATTCCCAGTCCGTGATAGGATTTCATAGCCTGGGAAATAGTGCAGTTTGTTTTTGCCAGTGCAAACACCACAGCAGATGAATACATATGGCTGTTATTTTTTATGTCTGCAGAGGACCCAGGGGCGATCCAAGAGCTATCATTGAATACAGAGACCTGGATGCTCCTGATGATATAGACTTCTTTTAAGGAAGTATGTTTGAAACATCTCAACTCCCGTATGCGGTAGGTAGTCTGGCATCACGCCAGTGATGAAACAGAATTTCCGGTTGTAGTTGTAGCAGTCACTTAAAAACGAATCTATAGGATGCTTATGCAGTATATTTTTGAGTAAAGTATTTACCATAGCATTGTTTCATAATGTTAACAGTGGTCGGTGTTACATTTTAAAAGAAGCTTTCTTGCATCAGAAACAGACTGTACAAGAAAATAATAAATAATTTTTTTCAGTTTTTCTACAATTTGTCCGTACTTTTTTTACTTGTGTGTAACGAGCCTATATCTTGAAGGTTGTCGATAAACCAAAAATTTCGGATGCTTTAAATGTGAGTGCGCGCATTCAATAAGATATTGCATCGTCATCTTGAAGCAATCTCGGGCAAAGAATCCTCCAGGCTCAATTCAGAACCCCAACTTTGAAAACACCACTTCAACCCATCTCGCCACATCAACCCCCAACCACCCTGGAGGAGCAAGACGATGGAACATCCTTCACGTGGTCACCCCTGGCCCCCCCCTGCCCCCCATTACGTGCAACGTGTCTGTGCTACGTGCTGCTTGGCAACACAACGGGATGTCGTCAAAAAGAGGGCCCCCCCCCCCCCACTGCGCATCGACTCGCCGATTTTTCGGTAAGGCCAGCATCCCTCACCCTCGTTCCCAACTAACTCGTTGACTACCCGGTACGGGTATCGGGATTGCACGTGCGTGTAACACGTGCAGCCCTTCATCAGTCCACTGCTGGATGAGGGCCTCCGCTGTGCTGCGCGGGTTGTAGTTATTACGGTGGGTTGGTGGCAGGGAGCATAGACGTACAGTGCAACGATGGAGTTTGCTGCACTGCCCTCAACTTCTCACAACGTAGCCCTGTGGTCTTTGTGATGACCTCATTGATAAGCGTGGTCGTCACCCAAGCACCGTTAAGGCTGAAAATCCTGCTTAGCTTCCAAGCTCTGATACGATAGGGTACATTCCGTGTGATTAGGTCATAGGAAAAAAATCACTGGCTTAAAGAGATTAAACTTTAGTGTAATGCCACAGAGCACGTAACAAGCAGTGATATCGTAGGGCACAGCATGTTATGTGGCAGTGCAGAGAACTTTGCATACCTTAGTGGTCGCACACTGGTGAACATTTACAATATTTAAGTGTCAAGGATGGTGCAAACTGAGTTTCATTGTTTAATTAAAACAATGTGTATCTTTCATAATAAAGGTTTTTGGGTTAGATCGCATTATTTATAAATGTATCTGCTTAAGTCTTCCACAGCTGACTACTTACAGCTCAATTCACATGGGATAAACTAATCTATTTAACAACACATTCAATATTGAAACAGTTTCAAGGATGCACTTGGCAAAGGAGCACTTCAATCATTTTATTCGAACGTTTAGCAGTTTTAATCCAGACAACTCTACAATTTGCTTAGAAATCAACAGGCACAGTAGTTACATGTTATGTTAAATTGATTTATAGAAATTTTTCTGCATTTCACATTTTCGCGCTTCTCGATTTTTTAAACTGGCGATGAAGTCACATGGCATATCGCCTGATCCATGTGAATATAAATACAGCATAACTTATATATTTTATATATTTACTTACGTTTATGCACCACACAGTGCTTGTCTTACAAAATACTGACATCTAAATAATAATAGAGGATTTACATGCCCCATTTTATTGTACGGTGCTCCAAATATTTGCTTTGCCTTGAAATAATATTCGACCAATTAGAAGGAGCGGAGGATTGAGATGCCTCATGCAAAGATTTTTCGTAAAGCCATGATTTTGTAACAGAAGTAGTGGGTGGTGATCACAGAATTTATTAATTTGGATGAGGACTGTAAAGTTTTAGAAATAACTATTGAAACACTTAAGTTAAGTGCTTCCAGGATTGGACTGGGGTGAAAAAATAACCTGCCCTAACAACCAGGAGCAATTGACCCATGGAAGTTCATGGAGAGCCAAGGGGACATATGTAGTGATACACCACCACAATTGCAGAGATCCACAGAAACACAGAGACAGATGCGCAGACACAGGGATATACACAGGAAGTGCCACGCATGTTTTAAATGCCTCACCTTGGCTGTGAATTTCACGTTAAATTACCGTGACAAAATCGTAGCTCTAAGTTTTGAGTTTCACAGGCCACCTTATTCACGTGGCTCACCAATGCTTGCAGTGGGGCGGAAAGGAAGGAGAATGCAGGGGACGGGAGCAGTGGACAACAACAATCCCCCACCATGAGCATATGAGAGGCAGACGGAGGCACGAGGGAGAAGGGGAAGACACATGGAGAGGTTAGATAGTTTTGACTTAACTTTCATGACTGCAGGAATTCATATTCTTGGTTCTTTCGGTAAAGTTACGTAGATAGAAAATAAAATAAAAATAACAATAAAATAAAAAATAATAAAGCCCTTTAAGTAACATTTGGAGGCTTGCCCCCTCTTTTCTCTCCGCCCGATGAAGACCGCTTGTGTTGCGATCAAAACGTCGTGGGTTTTTTGCTTTTATTATTTTCAATCGATTATTTTTAATAATTGATTTTATTTACATCATGGGGCCTCCTTTGCCAGTAGCAAAATATGAGTTTTTCCCCTTTTTTCTGGCAACAAAACAAGTGTTAAGATATTCTTGGTTCTTTCGGTAAAGTCACGTAAAAGGGAAACAATAAAATAATAAAAATATAAAACAAAATTCTCACGACGTTTCGACTGCAACACAAGCAATCATGATCAGGTGTGAAAACCACAGCAAGAACATTTACTGACTCTACAATTTTCTTGCTGTGGTTTTCACACCTGATGATGATTGCTTGTGTCGCAGTCGAAACGTCGTGAGAATTTTATTGTTTTATATTTTTATTATTTTATTGTTTCCCTTTTACGTGACTTTACCGAAAGAACCAAGAATATGAATCCCTGCAGTCACAAAAGCTTTAAATCAAAATGTAGGTGTTAAGATGTTAAAATACCAAACTGAAACCTTATACAAGGAATCATGTCTGCATTTACCACAATGCTTGTGGTCAGAATGCAAGCATTGTGGTTAATGTAGACGGGATTCCTTGTAAAAGATTTCAGTTTGGTGTTTTAACAACTTAACACCTGTTTTGTTGCCAGATAAAAGGGGAAAAACTTATTCTCTTATTTTATGTTATTTTATTTTCTATCTACGTGACTTTACCAAGAATATATAGGTTAGATAGTGTATTATTTTTTATATATTACACATAGTTTATCATGTGGATTCACTCAATACCTATAAAAAGCTGAATAGAAAAAAGTGCTGTACAAATGCACCCCTTTTATTGTAACAAATGTTAAAAAGAGGAAGCATTCATTTTTGTTGTTGGTATCTGAACTAAAATATTCCTAGCATTTTAAAACTTTGTTTTAGCCCAAATGGAGGGTTGAAGTAGGGTCTTTATTTTACATTTTCAGATATTCTACAAAAGTGCAATCATTTTTAAAGGGGTCATATCAGTGGGTCATTTGCACTTTTTGTTGTGTACAAAGATTGGCAACTGGCATCCACTTAAACATATTTCCCCGAATTCCAGACTTAATGCCTGTTTTCGGAGTGGTGCTGTGTAGCTTTCCGACGTGTGTTCAGATGTTACCATGTGTTGTTTGCCGTGCCAGTTCCTGAAGACGCTTCCAGAATGTGGAGAAAAACTGGTTTTTATTCCAAACAGGTGAAAGAAAAAAACACATTGAACAACTATACCAGATTTGACATCTAATAAAGAATGAATTTAAAAGACCTTGATAAATTAGTTGGAACGTTTACTTCACTCTCAATGTTTGCTGTTTCACTGCAAAGCCGCTTATAACTCAATAAAAACATTTTTTATGTATACGGAAATAGTTCCCATAAAATTTTTTGAAAGAGATTGGTGAAATAAATTGTCCAACATATCATAAACCCGATTATGTATTCAGATAAAAGTTGGAGCAGTTTGGCTTACCCAGCAGTGATTTTCCAAAGTTTAGTTTTTTTTAATATATATGGTAATGTGTCCTCTGCATTTTATTACGCATTTCAAAACTTGGAAGTGAAAATTACATCTCACGAATCCCATGAAGAATTATCCTCAAACTTGATGTGGCATTCAATTTTGGTTATATTAGTACTTGTTTGAAATGTGCACTGTTGGGAATTTAACTTTAAAATTGCTCTAGTTCTCTCAGGGAATTCTAGATGTTGACAAACACCAGAAGTGACATCTTCAGGACAAAGCATAATTACATAATCATTCTAACTAACTTTATATTATGAAAAAGTCAGATGTGCAATGTCACAGGTGGGTTAACAAATACACGGATTCATTTTCATTGTGTTTTGTAACTTAGTTTTGTTTGTATTTGTACACACTTTTGCTACATGGTGCATAGTGAAAAAAATCTGTCAAATACATGAACAAAACTATTCAACTTTAACAGAATCCAAAATATAACCCCGCTACAAGTTTGAGCATAACATATCATGGGCTTCATGAGATAATGGAACTTAAGTCAATTGTGTCATACACAAGATTTAAAAATGCAAATTTATGTCATTTGCATACATTTAAAAGCCAGAAACTTTCAGAGATTTATCATGGGTCATAAACCAGTTACTCTACTACAAGTTTTGGTGCAATGAATAATGGGGTTTGAGATATTGTCAATGTTCTCCAGTTTAAACAAAATAAAATACGGCTATCATTTCATACATGGTAATAAAACCCAAGATCTTTGTTTTCCCAATTAATCACTGGATTATAACATAACTACACTGAATTGAAACAAAATCCATTAAGAGGTTTATTTTATTTATTTTTAAATCACCTCTTTTTATGACTGGGTGACAAGTTGATTAAGTAGGTTAATCGACTTAACATTGTGACCGTTGTTCTGTGATTGACTCCTCTGGCCCCTGAAAAAACAGCAGCTGCCCTGACATTCTGCCTCCCGAAGGTGAGAAACCGTTGACGAGCCACACCCAACGTGACGTCACCCAAGCTCTGCCCCTCGCCACCTCCCGTCCAGCGGCACAGATGGTACCAAAGGGTGAGAATGTTTTTCCAACTATTTACATGCTGTCTGATTATTCAAATTAAAACATCTGTACAGTAATCCATTAATTTATATAATTGGAAATTCCAGCATTACTTATGTTTATTTCCAATGGCCAACCAGTGGAAAAAGTTACGGAGTGCAATTATGCAAATGCCGGATTTTGCGTTGTGCAGTCAAAGCGCATACAATTGATAGCAAAATGTTCAACTAGTTCAAAAAGGTGTTTATTGTTCTTTGGTGAAAATGTCAAATGTGCATTTCTGGTAAAAAATTTAAGTAACTGCTCTTGTGCCCTCTGAATATTACAGAAAACAAGTATGACAATCTGGTGCATGCAATGCATCCTTTAAGGGAGCATACTTGCTTTGTGGCATCTTGAGGTCATGCAACACCCAATTTGAAAATGAGAAATTTAGACCCAGTAAAGTGTGTGCACTTACACACTGGCCTTTGACACATTGGTATGATCAAATCCAAAGCAGCCTCCGTTACGATTACAATTCTATAAACCCATCAATATACAATTTTAAATATAAATAACAAAATAAAGATTTATCTTCATGGCGAGCTTTTGTCAAATAGAAAGTAACATTTTTTGTTTTGAAGGCAATGATTAACACACTTAACAAATCGCAGATTCTGTAGAATCAAGACAATATTACAGCAAACAGTCTTTATCATAAATATATATTTTTAATAGATTCGTATTTGTTAAACTAGATTTTACATGTTATGACATCAGTTGTCATATTTATCCTGAACAGCCTCTCAAGAATGTATTTCAGAAGGATCCTGTGTTGGAACGATTCGTTGACCAATTCCTTCTCAAGGAGTGTTCCGAGTGTGGGAAACACCAAAGTTTCTGGACAGGGGATACAATTAAAATATAGGTCCACACAGACAGGGAAAAACCAGAGGACCCAGAGAAGAATCCATGCGACCACGGGGAAAAACATGCAAACTCCAAATATACCATGGTAGGGATCAAACCCAAGACCTTGTATACTCGGCGAGGTAGTTACTATCTTGCCACTGTGGCACCATAAACAAACCCATACAGTGCTGCCATCTCCTGACCACCGAGCAGCTGGGTGAAGAGAGTTTAACAAATCCACACACAGTCTGCCACCTCTTGCCTCTAAAATTCTGGATTCCAGCTGTACACTCCTATACCCTTACAGAGTGTGCTGGTCAAAGGTGATGTTGACATTACCCTGCTATAACAAGAAACGTTATCTTGCAGGAACTCCTCATCTTTCTCAATTTTTATATCGGAAGATCAATGTGTTGCAGGGCTCGTATTGGGTAGTGTTTTTCCTGACCGTATGACCACGCGGGTACACGCGTACACGCCACGTAACCGTCGTTTCAGGTCCAGGCCTCTTGGTCTCGTTTCCTCAGAAAGGCGGCACCTCCATGTCCTCCGAGTTGCTGATGCGGACAAAAGACACACGCACAGTCATGCAACTTGAATGTATATTGCGCTTTTATCATTAAATAAGCAGTGTCTGGGCTGAGCCCAAAAACTCACTACACGCAAGAACTCGATTTAATCCCAGGACCTCAGTGGTGCCAGGCTCAGTTCTCTATACCCTCTGAACCACCCCGCCATCCATCTCAATTCAACTACTACTTTATAGAAACTCTTGAGATCCCGTGTATTATCCTATGTGTGTCAATTTATATGCAGGCCCGTGTGCCAAGCCTGCGTGTTAGCGAGCTCATGAGTGTACGTAAGTCTCACCCGTGCGGACTCTGCTTGTTCCGTTTCTTCTTCCCTCGCTGGGCGGTGAGTGGCAGAGGCCCCTCGAGGGCTCCGAGTCGGTGTGGCCGGGCACTAGGGGGCGGCTCGAGGGGTCCCGGCTGGGGATAGAGCCCCAGTGGCCCAGAGAGTGGGGATACAGGGATGCTTGGAGCACTGTGCCCATGCCCAGCTGTGTGTATGTGTGTGCGGGCGTGTCGGAGTTTACACAAACAATAGTGCATTAGAGAAACGTTTTAATATTAAAATTTTGAGTTTGAAATCAGCTGCCTCCTGACATAGTTATAGATTTTGATTTAAAGCTTTCGTGACTGCAAAATATAATTTTTTTTATTGTTTTATATTTTTATTATTTTATTGTTTCCCTTCTATGTGACTTTACGGAAAGAACCAAGAATATAGTTATAGATGTTTTCCCAAAACTTCAATTGGAGAAATATATACAATTTAGTTTTTAAAAATGTTGTATTGTGAAGGATTACATCTCGTATATTGCATTTAACACAAAGGGCTTTGACGACCAATATTATCCATAAGAGGTTTCTTGGTTAGATCAGTTTGTTACATGACAAACCTTACTAGTTGGGTGGTGGCGGGTTTAACGACACATTTATATTTACGCGGGTCTAACCCAAAAAAACCTCTTACGTATTATATCGCGGCGAGCCGACTCTGTACCCAGACTGCGCGATGCCTCCTTGTTAAGCAGCAGGGAGGCGCGACGCGGCTTGAAGTAGTTCCCGGCCACGTCCTCGGCTTCGGCGCGCGTCAACCGCTCTAGGAACCGATCCTCCTTTGACACGCGTTGGGGGGTAAAGAGACAGCAGGATGGACGAGAAGCAACTTAAAAGGTGCACGCAAACCCTACTATCCGCCCACGAGTTTTTCAGACTCTTTTGTCAGTTAAGAAAGATTACAAACAACAGGGGTGGCCCATTCGGTCTATTCTAGCTCGTTTGGTTGTGAGTAGCAAATCGATACCAGTATCTCATCACAGCATTTCTTGGAAGAGTCCAGAGTAATGACAGCTGTGTACTTTTGCAGACGATCGACGGATAACATGTTGTAGGGGAAAGTGGTGGGTACTCCCACGTCTTGTAAGATGCCTGATCAGCTTTTAAGAGTAGGCCAGAATACCCACTTTAAAAGGGCTCTCTGGAACCTTCTCTAATGGAGCAATTTTAGCACTGCATATTTAACTTTACCATAGAGAGTGGTGCCAATTTTGTGCTCCAGATGTATAAGTATTGCTAACATATGCATGCTCATGTGCAGCTCCTTCACAATGTGGTGGTGATAATAGTGCAGGTGATGATGACAATGCTGCTGGAATGGGTGGTGCTGCTGATTTGGTAGTGCTAAGGTTATGTATAGGCTAACGGAGTAAAACATTACAATTAAAACTGAAAGAATACGAGACGATAAAAATTTGACAAAAATAATTATTGAATCAAATCGGGATCCCTTAACGTAAGAAATTATCAATCGTTACATGACAATGTATATATGTTGAACTTCTTTTGCACCGTACCTACCCAACCGTGCTAAACGGACGCGCAGGGAAATGTGCCGAGTGGTGAACCCAGGTGATGATGCTTATTGTGCTGATGCTGGCCCTGCTGATGAGGATACAACGTGGGAGGGGGGGATGGTGGTGGTGATAGGCTGGTACCGCTCCGCTGGTGTGCTTCTCACGTGTTGGTGGTTCCCGTTCTCGTGCGGCGGGGTGCGACGCGAGGGCTTGGCTTGTGCACCGCTGCCACCGGCTGCACTCACAGGAGTTAATCGTGCGATCGGTATTCGTTCAATAATCTTTATATCTCGTCATAACCCATAAAAGTCAATCGAATTGCTGGAGGGTATGGATCATTGCATGCCGATGACCACATTACCCATAATGCGCCTGATCTTATCAGATCCCCAAAGAGGAGCAGGGTTCAAATTTGGATGGGCGACCCATAACCTGCAAGGCTACGTGATGTATGTATGTTGAACTTCTTTCGCACCCTATGTAGCCAAGTGTTAATCGGAGGTGTGGGGGAAGGGCAACGAACGAAACACGAAAGGCAGTTCTAAAGAATTGAGTTTTACATATAGAAGATTTAAAGTGCATAGCTCCAATAGCTTCCTAATATCGGCAAGGAAGAGCATTCCAGCAGAAGCGCATCTGAAAGTGCGTGTTGGGCTCCCAAATTTGTGGTTGTGGGAAGGCCCTCATTTAGCAGTGGCAGCAAAAGGGCTGTACTTGTACACATACGTGAATCATTACATGCCGAGCTGACAAGACAATTGAGACAAGGGACTGCCAAGTTCATTGGAAAAATTGTCCTTTGACAAGAGGATTGACAATTCTTCCTGGGGGAGGCCTTTTCCTGACTGACAGCCCTCATCCAGCAGTGGAGCTACAACAGGGCTGTGCGTGCCCGGAAGAGGAGGAACCTCCACATTTTACCTGGCGGCAGGGAGGTGCGCGTGACGACCATCTCAGGCAGCCTCCAGGCCTGAGCGTCCTCGTCCCACGTGGCCTCGCTGCGCACGCGCTCCAGGTTGGCGTAGTTGCAGTCGCGCCGCAGGCACGGCGCCACGCGCTCCAGCAGTTGCTGCTGCAGCCGCAGCTCACGCTGCTGCCGCCGGATAGTGTCCAGGTAGTCGCGCCGCTCGCTCTCAAACTCCTGCTGGATGTCGTTGATATCCGCCTGCGCGGCTCGCAGCTGTGGCACGCGTGCGTCCGAGCAACCCGGTTAGCGGTGCCACGGGGACGGTTCGAAGTACAGAATGGGTATCGGATGTAGAAATGTGGTTTCTTATATAGCAAGGGTGGGGACCTCTGGCCCCACGGGTCACAGGCGGTCCACAACTTCCATTTCATATGGCGCATTGTCACAACTTGACAAGGTTCTGCAAATACTTGTTGATGTTTTCAGTTTAACACGTAGGCTTCGGTGATCAATAGCCATAAGTGTTTTTTTGGGTTAGGTTGTGCAAATATGAATGCATCATTAAACCCACCACTCGAATTGTAAATGTTGTGGGTTTACTCTCCAACACACCGGTGTGCTGAACTAGAAGCTAATTATATTCTTGTTTCTTTCGGTAAAGTCACGTTTAAGGGAAACAATAAAATAATAAAATATATATATAAAATTCTCACGACGTTTCGACTGCAACACAAGCAGTCATCATCAGGTGTGAAAACCAACGGCAAGAACCTTTGAAAGAAGTGGCGGTTTGTATTTATTTATTTTTAAACATTAGCACCACGGATATCGATTTGACAGTTTGTTTAGATGGACGAGTCCATCTATGTTCAGAAAAGAGGAGGGGGGAGACAAAAAATTAATGTATGCTGTCTGAAAGCCACCGTAAGCGTGAACAATCAATTAAGACCCGAAATGGTTTATCAAATCCTTCCAATGATTGCTAAGCCAGAATCCATCTTCTCGGTTGAAATTGTCTCTGTGTTTGTATATGTGGATAGCCTCATGAACGAATATCTCATGGTAGCCAGATGGCTTGCAAAGAACCTCTGTCTTGGAGAAGTCAATGTCATGTGAGCCTACTTCATTATAACAGTGATCTGCCACGGCCGAGGTGTTGGTCCTACCGTGTTTAAGGTCTGCTTTGTGTTCACGAATGCGGTCCGAGACATGTCGTTTGGTTTCTCCAATGTAACTACTACCACAGAGGCAACTTAGTTTGTAGACACCAGGGTACTGTATGTTCGGAATCACATCTTTTACAGACGGAACCAGATCACGGATTTTATGTAATGTGTGGAAATGGCCCTGGATCTTGTGTTTATTCAAGATTTGAGATCTTTTTTGTGATCCCCGCAATGTAGGGTAAAGTGATGGTTTTGCAAGGCTCCTCAAGAGGGTCCTTCTTCATGGTTTGAGTGATAGCTTTGCGGATTGTATAGTCGGAGTAACCATTAGCCTTAAGAGCTTGGTGTACGTAAGGGGTCGGCAACCTATGGCTCGCGAGCCAGATGTGGCTCTTTTGATGACTGCATCTGGCTCGCAAATAAATCTTAGCTGACATTTCTTTAGTTGTATTCAGTGTTAAAAAAATATTATATGGCTCTCACGGAAATTTATTTCAAAATATGTGGCTTTCATGGCTCTCTCAGCCAAAAAGGTTCCCGACCCCTGGTGTACGTGCTTGAGTTCACTGCCTATGTGTTCCTGGTCGTATATGCATTGGGCTCTATGGTGCAGAGTCTTGATGAGAGAATTCTTCTGTAATGGATGATGGTGGGAATCCGGTTTCAGATAAGCATCCGTATGGGTAGCTTTCCTGTAGACAGAGGGGCTCATTTAACCATCAGGTCTCTTTTTTATTAGGATATCCAAAATCTGATGGCTGGGTGTATGGAATTGATGTGGTCGAAGAATTGGTCTAGAGCAGGCCGGCCATGTGGCCAGATGACAAAAGTGTCATCCACGTACCTTTTCCATAAGGTTGGGCGCAGAGTGGCAGTCTGGATGGCGTCAGTCTCAAATTTCTCCATGAAAATGTTGGCTATAACCGGAGATAGGGGGGAGCCCATTGGGGTGCCCTCAGTTTGTTTGTAGAAAGTTCCATTCCAAGTGAAGTATGTTTTGGTTAAGCAGTGTCTCACCAGGGGGGGTACCTCAGTGTTTAGTCCTTGATGAACCAAGTCTTCAATGAATGCGATGGTGTCAGGTACAGGAACTTTGGTGAATAAGGAAACTACATCAAAACTGACAAGCAGGTCGTCTGGGGACAGGGAAATATCCTTGATTGTCGATACCAGGTGAGTAGAATTTTGTACCGCAGAGGTGGTTTTTCCAGTGACTTTACCGAAAGAACCAAGAATATGAATCACTGCAGTCAAGAAAGCTTTAAATCAAAATTTAGAAGATAATTGGCATGTTTTGGATGGTGGCGGGTTTAACGACACGTTTATATTTACGCGATCTCACTCAAAAAACCTGATGGATTATGTTTTATCGCTGCAAACAACTTGGCCGCACAAAAAAGGGTACTGGATGGGAATATTTTGGACCTGGCAAAATAGCGGCCGAGCACTTACCTTCTTGCGGCCCTTGTTGAGCTGCCGCTCCTTCTCCTCTGCCTCGTCCCTCATGGAGTCAAAGACGCGCATCACCACCTCGTCGCTGTCGCCCGTCCCTTCGCCGTCGGCCTCGTGGTCCAGGCGCAAACTCTCCATGAGTCGCCGGTGCCGCTCATCCGCCAGGCGCCGGCGCTCCTTTCGCCGCTCGTGCAGCTCGGGGTTGTTGGCCTGCTCCCCGCCCACGACGTCGCGCTGGAGCGAGCTCAGCCTGGGAAGCAAGGCGCGAGAAGCGCACGGCGGTGCTCACAACGGCCTGGTAAACTAACATCAAGAAAAGGGCTGATCACCATCGGCACCTACAACACTACCAAACTACCAAAATCACCAGTGCTATCAACCCTAGTACCAGCACTTCCAAAAGCACCAGCATCATGATGTACACCACAAGCCCTAATTTAATGCTCAGGCATTGCAGAGAGCAACCTGAGACAATGCAAACCAGGCTATCAAGAACATAATCGCCAACTCCAGGGGAGATCTTCCAGTTTCAAATTATCCCGCAAATAATGGTCCGTTTTGCACCATATGTACAGCCGATGCAGCTATCTCCTCTAGTGCCATTGCTGTTACTAAGTCTCAAACCGTGCATCACATCGAAACACAACTGCCAGCTTAGATCAGTTGCTGGCATTGTTTTAGATATTCACCAGGCGACTCCTGAAGCGGTCCACCGACTCAAACACCAAACACGCCATAAGCATATTCAGGTTGCTGATCACTCAATTATGAACAATTTTCACTTTCCCAGTTTAGGCCCACTGAGCTATATTGCTATTTCAGAAATGACCGGACCACAAATGATAGATCAACAAAGTGGCTAATCATGTGGAAATATATCGCAGCCAAATACTCTAAATGTATGTTTCTGAATGTGGAGGGAAAAACCAGAGGACCTGAAAAAAATCCACACAAACCAAAGGGAAAGATGAACATACAAATTCCAAATATACAGGCATGGGGATTGAACCTATGTCTCGTGCATACCAGGCGAGGGAGTTATCATCTGGCCAGCGCAGCACCTGCCCTACCATACGAAAGGTAGAAGAAGCTCTTCATCTGGCTACCCCGCTCATTTCCAGTACCTGCCAGGGTCCTACCTGCGCAGCACCTCCTCCTTCTCCAACAGGGCAATGGTGCTGGGCTGATCGGCAGCCTCTGCCTCCGATTGCGTGCCCTCCCTCAGCTCCTCCACGCTCTTCACACTGTTGATGTGACGCGCTACCTGCGCGCTGGCCGCTCGCACGTCCGGAATCTGTGGGAGCAGAAAACGCGTGGAGTGTATGGACGGGCACGGTGTTTCACAGGGCACTCGTGTCCTCCCATACTCAAAACAAGCCAGTGATTCCACCCTCGTCTACTGTTTACAGCTCTGAACCAGTGGAAATTCCACATTCCTATGACAAGGGCAGAGTCTACTCTGAGAACAACCACAGTTGGCTTCCCAACAAAGTGGTACTTATTTACGATCAGTCATCCCCCAACTCGGAATTGAACTAGCAAACCTTCCGATTACAATCTGTTTGCTCTACAGCTGAGTCACCTGACTGAATACTCAATAAAATTGCCATGTAATGGAATTACTATGATTATAAATACATTGTTATGAAAAAAAATCTGCATATTTTTGTACATTCACTTCAAAATGAAAACAATTACTCCCAATGTGAGTCACGGGAAGGCGTGGACTGAGACACATTTGGGCCCCGTGCAAAGGGATGTCACACCGGGTGCGTCACAAGACGTAACGCGTTCTGACATCATCGTGAGGCACGTGCTCACATCCTCATTGGGACATACGCCTGTGCCCCATAGCCCTCGTGGTCTCAGTGTGCCCCAGGTGCCGATACCCTCTTCATCTCTATCACTGGCTATTGCAAGAGGCTTCGCGTAAAGCTGCGGGGAGGGGGTGGCTTGGTAGGTGAGGAAGCATCGACTGAGCTTTCGCACGGTTACCTGTGCTTGGGGCAGCGCCCGCTCCACGCTCGTCAGCGCCCGTGGGGCAGCTGTGCCTGGCCTCTCCACCCCCTGTTCGTGCTTCACCTCCGCTTGCACCACCACCGCCGCTATCACCAAATGCAAACGCACAGAAAACACACAGCTTCAAACATGTGTTCTTTTTAGAAATGGTGTATCTGCTAATGTTCATTAGGCATGCAATAAATCGTCAATTAAAATAGATTCTTATGATCAGGATTAATATATCAAATGATGCATATTAGTACTGATGGTGTACTCTTCATGAAAATGTACAATTATGTTGGTGTGACTTTACACGTAATAGAACAATGAGATAGAACAAACTTTTTAATTATCAAATAAACTTGACAAATGAGACAAATCGTCCAACTACAATGATTTTTTTTAGTGTTCATGGAGAGAGGTTTGGGAGGGGTGGCGAGTGGGCCGTTGTGGATGTAAATGTCTGGGAAGAGTGGCGAGTGACTGAGTGGGGAGGTAGAGGTCTGGCCTGAGTGGTGAAGGGCATTCCGCACCGGTGAGGCGCTCCTCCACGGCGGTGAGCTTCTTCTCGTAGGAGACGCGCAGGGTGTCCAGAGCCTCCTCCAAGCGTGCCTTGGAGCGCTGCTGGGCCTCAAAGTCTCCCCGCACGCGCGACAGCCGCTCCTCGTACTCCTGGTGGGGCCCGGCCAAATTGTGGTGATGAGACGCAGACGCACAAAGGTGGCGAATGGCTGGGTGAGCGAGGAAAGAAGAGAGCCCTGGGATTATTGGGGATGGGCTGCACAAGGTGAGAGGGGAAAAGGGCCTTTGTGCATAATGCTGCATTGCATTTACTGCAAGTGGTTGTTAGATTTTATTGAGTACTTTTTTGGGAAAGCCATACCCAATGTGTCCAAGGATCATAGTAACTAATCCGTGTATTACCTGCTATGACATGGATCAGACATGGATGCTGACGAAGAAACTGCAACAAGTGTACATTTTGATTTAAAGCTTTCGTTGACTGCAGGGATTCATATTCTTGGTTCTTTCGGTAAAGTCACGTAGAAGGGAGACAATAAAATATAAAAATATATATTTTAACACTTGTTGCATATGCTTGGTTCTTTCGGTAAAGTCACGTAGAAGGGAAACAATAAAATAATAAATAAAAAATATTCTACGTGACTTTACCGTAAGAACCAAGAATATGCAACAAATGTGTTAAGCATGCAAAGATGCATGCTTGGCATTACACTGAGAGAAAGAGTAAACAGATGGGTTTGGGCAAGACACGTTGCTGAAAAGATGGCTGGTGGGCATATACCTGTCGAATCTTCTGCCTTTCCTTCTCAATTTCAGCTTGGTGATCGACAGCTGCAATGACTTCCTCCTTTGCTCTTGGTACCTCTGCTTTAAAGACACAAGTGGAAATTCTTGGAATGATTTATGCTTTCACAGCTTAATACAATCATCGTGTTGCACCTAAAAAGCGAGGTTTCTGGAGTCAAGCATGAACCACACATCGGCGCCCATCCAGACAATGCAACTACGGAATGTCCAAGAAATACTGGGCAAATTCAGGAGTGGAGTGCCCTGGTATATTCTAAACAGAACCACATTAAGTCCATGAATACAACATTATTCCATTTACAACTTATGTTATTTACATTATTAAAATATTACAATATTATAGACGGTAAAACCACCAATGAAACCAACGAAATCCTCCATTTTGGAACGCACAATACAATCCCTTAGTAGTTACTACACCGTACAGTATTAACCTGGGACTGCCTTGCGCGTGAAGTCTAAGCAGTATGAAGCCACAGCTAACAACAAGCCACCATCACCTTGCACACTTACTTTTTTTACTTTTATACTTCAATTTTTTTTATTTGCCCCAAATTTTTGTTTTACTTTTTAGGGGTATCCCCCGGCCCCTCTCCCAAAAAAAACATTATTTGCAGGCCACAGTAAATGCAGCCACATTGAGGAAGTAATACATTGCAGAATAAGGGAGGCTTGCTCGAGTTTTCTGGGGGTGGGTTGGGGTGTGAGGGGGTTGGGGTCAGGGGGTTTGGGAGGGAGGGTGGGGGGGGGGGGTGTGCAGGGTCTGACCAGGTCGGCCGGGAGCTGCAATCTGTCCCTGGAGCAGGGCCTTGAGGCGGGTGATCTCCTCGCGGTACTCGCGCAGCATCGCGTCCTTGGGGTCCTCGTTGACACGCGGGCGGTTGCGGATGCTCTTGGCGCGGTTGGCATAGCGCAGAGTGCTCAGCGACTCCTCGTAGTTGTTGTCGGCAGGAGAGATGCACGCCACCATCAGCGTCTTGGTGTTGCCGCCCAGGGAGTCCTTGTGAGTGCCATCGCACGTCGTCAACGAGGCCACGTCAGTCTCAACACTCTCCAATCACTCCACTGGCTCCCCATCCAATCCCGATCGATTTCTAGATCACTCACCCCGTCTTCAAGTTGCTCCGTAAAATTGCCCCCGAATACCTCTCCCCCACCCTCATCTCGCTCTATTTGCTTCCATGCGCACTCTGCTCCAGCACGCAAGACTTTCTGTGGAAGCCCCCAGTCGACCTTTGCTCAGTGCGAGGTTGCCCATTCTCCTCTGCTGCCCCCCATAGTTTGTAACGTCCTTCCCCCAGCCACCCATGCTGCTGACTGCCTGCCCCTGTTCATATCCAGCAGCAAGACCTTGCTTTTCACCTCGACCTAAGACAGAGTGCTTCTAGCTGAATAATGTGCCCACTTTTTACGTACAGCGTCTTGATATAAAGTTATATTCACACGCGATATAAATACAATTGTACTGTTATCGTCAACCTTGTTAATATTCCTTCTGTCACAATTCATCACTATCACCATTACCATCATCGTCAACAGAGAATATAGCAAGTGTCCGGGCTGCAGCATGGATAATCTAAAGTACAAGAGTTGTGTTTGGACTTCAATAAACCCCTGCATCGTTGACTGCCTTTTTGTTTTGACCGATCAACATTTCAACGCGATTACACCGTCATCCGCATGTTATGTACATGTATAAGACATTGAGTATTGAATCGACAAATGAATCACAGGCGAATTAATCAATATATGCCTACCTAGAACATGTGCTGTCCTTTTGTCAATCCACTGCTTTATGAGGTGGGCTTCCCCATGATTTAATTTGCCCATTATTCATGCTGGTAAAGTGCCTTTGGCGCTGTTACACTACCATGGCCACATTCCCAGCTGTCATTTGTTTACTGCAATGGATGATGAATGGCTTGCATTCCCAATTTCTTACTTCGCCTTGTCCAAACACATACACTCGTGCACTCTCTGGTATTACATCTGTTGCTTTGCTATTTGCCCGCTTTTAAGGTGAAGGCCATGTCCTCCCAAATAACAAATATGCATTTTGGAAACGCGATCACCTTATTCAGGCGTTTGGTGTATTTTCGCTTATTGCTTGCCATAATTTTGGTTCTTTTGCAAGCAGAACTCATGGGACAAATGAAGCATCTTTCAATAAACCGACAGCAAATTAAAACAGAGTGGCCATTTTGGGATGGGGGGGGGGGCGCACCTGCAGTAGCCGCGTGAGCTTGGAGTCGCGGTATGGCACATGTTTGGAGCGCCCATCCACGAGGGCCGAGATGACGTTCCCGAGTGCCGACAGCGACAGGTTGATCTTCGTGGCCTCCTTGAGGCGGTCGCCCTGCGCGCCGGTCTTGGACTGGCGCTCGCTGCCCGCCAAGTCCACCAAGTTCAGCTTGCCCGCGCGGATGTGGTCTTCGCCCTGATCGTCTGCAGCGCCAGCAGATGGCAGCACGGGGATTACATTTTGCGAGGCGCGGAGCTTAGAAATGGGGGGTGCGGACATGGCCGCTCGTGCGTATTTGCAGTTCTAGAGTTCGAGTTCTGCGGTCACCCTGGTTAATACTGCGGGTGTATTAACACAAAATACGCACCATCTGCTTCACAGCAAATGTTAAAGGTCGCATGACATTAAGAATAGGCCGTGCGTGCCTGGCCTGTTTCACCGTCCAAAATTTAAAAAACTCGAAAGGGTACTCGCAAATCACTTAATTTGACATTGCAACATTACCTCCTACTGGCAGACTTCTCGTCTGTGATACATAACACTTACATGGTACCCTTGCATTTGAAGAATGGCTTGAATACCAAATGTACTAATTATTAAATAAGTGACAGCAGTGTGTATACCCAGGCGTAAGTGTTCAGTGCAGTGGGATATGCCCATGAAACATGGAAAGTGCAGAAAGATGCAATGAAAAGACAATGCTTTTTGAGATGCGGTGTTTCAGGAGACTCGAAGTAAGCTGGTGTGATAAGACTGACGATGTCCTGAGATAGCATTATTTTTTTTATAAAACCACGACGAGCATCAATTACTTAGAAGTCTGTTGACAGAGAAGGTGGCATATGCAATGTCTTAAGAAGGCCAGCTGGAGATATGAAGAGGATGATTCTGCGAGGGAAATGGAAGAGAAGAGGGGAAGAGGGAGAAAACAGATCAGCTAGTGGGACAATGTCATCAGCCAGGTGGGACTCTCCATGAAAGACACTGAATATTGCAAATGAAAACATACATCACGGACATCGACCCTTGGTTATGAACATCACACTCGATAGTACAACAGTAACTATATTATCCATCTAGTACCATATACATTGGAATTTAACTCATGTGATCTGAGTCACTAATTATGAATCAGGATTACTTTTGACATCTCACAATGTGGTTTACTCATTTTATAAACCCCAAAGTGTAGGTAGTCAATCCCATACTGATATTTAAACTCGCAGCACAATTGGTAAATAACTGGTGGGGAAATATTGAAACTCATAATTAACACTAAAAAAGAAAACCGCACATTTCACAAAATGTTATCTACACAGGATGCACTTGCAAAAGAAAGCAAGGCATGCAGACATGTGAGAGTGCCAAACCTAGTGGGATAGAAGGTGGCCAGAAGGTGGCAGTACAACAGGCAGATTCATGAACCTGCCTCTGCAGACTTTTGACGTTATCTGCGTGTCTGCACGTGTCTGCACGTGTTTTCTCCGGGAACTCCTGTTTCCTCCCATGAAAGCCTAAGCATTGCTTAAATTAAACTGGCCCAACATCTTTTGATTTAAAGCTTTCGTGACTGCAGTAATTCAGATTCTTAGCTCTTTCGGTAAAGTCACGTTGAAGGGAAACAATAAAATATATAAATATATATTTATTATTTTATTGTTTCTCTTCAACGTGACTTTACAGAAAGAGCTAAGAATATGGCCCAACATCCTACTGCAGGACTGTTGAAAAAGTATTGAGATCAGTGAGGCCTTCTTGGATAAATAAAGAATAACACTTCAAAAACATGCCAAATCCTGAAAATCAAACATGCCTAATCTTTATGAAAAAAAAATCACACTGTTACCCTTTAATAACGGATCTCAACAGACTCTCAACACAGAAAAACATACCACACATGGCATACAAAAAAAACAAAAATCAAGGGGAGAACGCAAGAGATGGAGTGCAATTGCCATACCAGTGGTGCACATCTCCAGGTGGATGCTGAAGATGGAGTGCGATCGCGACGAGTCTTTGTTCATTAGCGTGGCGCCCGTGGCGCGGTTGCTCCAGCCCGCCTGCATGATGCGCTCGCACTCCGCCACGCTGTGCACCGTGTGCATGGACAGGTCGCGCACGTACACGCCACGCTCGGGGTGCTCCTTCAGCTGCGGGTCCCACGCAAAGGGCACAACAGGTGCATAGGTTGGCATGGGGAAAGGAGGCACGGGGGGAGACGCAACAGGGATTGGTGGCACGGGGAGAGGAGACGCTGGGACTCAAGGGGGGATCGGTGGCACGGGGAGAGGAGACATGGGGATGCAAGGTGGCACAGGGGGAAGTGGGAGTACAAGTGAGCAATGCGGTTGTGAATAAAACGTTTGTGGAGAGGGTAGAGGGGAAGTTATTGGAAGTGAGAGGCAAGAGGGAAGCAGGACAATGACATGCACGGAGTTGAATGGTGATGATGATGAACTGTAAATAATGTTTGCAAAAAATGCCGTGAAAGAAATCAAGTGAGATCTTTTTTGTTATTGTTTTGGCGTGGAATATTACAAAGTTAAAGAAATGTAATATCATTAAGAAAAAAAGTCACATGCATTAGGATGTGTGTATGAGTAAACAAACCCCTCACCCACCTCAAGCCTCTGCTTCGTGTCTTTTCCAAGCAAATCTCTTATCTCCTCATTGTAAATTTCCAGATATGAGGCTCGGAAAAGGAACTTGGTGTTTTCTGCACACTGAGGGGCAAAAACTACGATTTATTTCCGACGCGAATGACACATCACATTTAATTGACAATCTCATCGCTGCAATATGGCCCGATTATTCTTGAAAGGAATTGAATTTCAAATTAAATGCTAATTCAATGCAGCTGCTATCCTTACTGTTATAATGGATGTCAACAGACTCTCACCCAGCGTAATTAAAATCTAGATTGAAAACCCTTTTCTTTGGAACTGCTTTTTGTGTTTAGTCAGTTGTACTTCAGCACGGTTGGCGACGTACAGTGCGATAGAAGTTCAACGTACATAAAAGCAAGCAAATGCAGAAAACAAAACGTGAAGCGAGAGGTTGGCAAGGCAAGAGTGGCAAGAGATGTAGGCAGCGTACATCTCCAGGTGGATGCTGTCGATGAAAAATATTCCAATTGCAGTTATTCCTCTTGACATTTGCTTTAAATTCAGGGCACAAATAACCAAATTGAGGATAAAAACTGTGTTGTTGAGACACCGGTACTGTAAACACCACTGAAAGAACAAAAAGTTAAAAGTGCCACTGGCGAAATTCCAGAGGTGCGATTACGAGTAGAACTACGGGTTAACAGCTGATAGGCTTGTTGTTTATGGGATGGATAGCACTAGTGGCCAGTTGGATAGTTGGTTATGGTTAGGGTCAATGAAAGGCTAGTTTTCTAGTTGGTAGGGGGTAGTAGTAGTCAGTTAGCTGGGCAAGGAAAATTAAGGTCAGGGCTAGACTATAATTGGCAATCGCGCTCTGCCCCAAAATGGGTGACGATCCCCCATCCTATTCTCAATATAACCTATAGCTTTTTCAAGATTTTGCTCTGTAAATTTTTGTTGCTTAAAGTGCGACATCTGAATTATTGCTCTTGGTGCTGACAACGACCATGACCGTGACTACGGCAGCGAGCACAAGGCACACACCTGGATGCTCTCGAAGATATGCTCGAACGCACGCGGTATGACGCCTCGCTGGGCAGATGGCTCCGATACGCCCTGCATGGTAAAAGACTTTCCACAGCCCGTCTGTCCGTACGCAAACACCGTCCCATTGTAGCCCTCCACCACGCCCTGGTCAGAGTCAACACACCAACACCTTTTTTAGCGACAGGGTCATAGCCACACATCAATATAAAAGCCCGGCGTTCCGTTTGTCCATCAACTAAATTATAAAATCCTTTCAGAAGGCCTGAATCAAAAGTTATAGAAAGTGGACCCCCCCGCCCCGATGTGGGGGTAAAAAGTTGACCGCCAGGTTTTCAAATAATGTCGACCAGCCCCCCCACCCAAAAATAAATAATCTATTTTGTAGACATATGCCTACACACCATACATATAATAGTGTCTGCACACATTGGGGGGGGGGGGAAGGGGACATCAGTGGTGGCGACGGGCGAGGCACAAGGCGCCGAGAAGCCCTCCGCAGGAGCTCGTAAAATAAGTAGTATTTAAAAAAAACGTATTTTTTTAAACACGCTTTCATGAAACGTACCCTACTAGTAATGGAAGAACTCCACGACTCCAGGAAGTGTCCCCGAAGCTTGCCGTAACGTAAGGGGCCGTTGGTCAGTTACAGCCAACGTGAGTTTACTGTGGACAATTAGACCCAAGCCGAAACATAACGTTTCTAAAAGATTGTTCAAAAATATATTTTTTTATGATAGAATATAGTATTGTCATCGGAATGACGTAAGTATACCAAGTTTGCAGTCGATACCACATTGGGAAGTGGGTTAACATTGAGTTACAAGATTTGAGGATACGACAACAACAGGCAGAGTTAATAAATAGCGTGTAAAAAATGGTGGTTCTCAACTTTATTTGGCTTCTGTACTCCTTGTTGAATTTTGTTTCAACCGAGTACCCTCTTCCCTCACCCAACATGGTTCCGAGAAATAAATGTATGAAAAACGAACATTAACAATGTAAGCATATTAAGCTCACCTACCCCCTGGAACATTTCCACATACCCCCAAGGGGTCTGCATACCCACGGTTGAGACCCACTGTGCTAGAGTATGGTTCCTCGTGGTTATTGTTTAGATTGCAGATAGTATCCACAAACTTCGCTCCCCACTTGGTCATGGAGTAGAGGCGTTATATTATACAATAATTACCATATTCCCCAAAATATGATGCTCTGGAAATTAAGATGCACCCGATGCTTGTGCCCAGTGTCAAGACATACCCCCAACTAGTGCTTTAAAATACAATAAGAGTCTTATACAAAGAATGCAGTATGACAATCTCCACATCCATTGGCTACGGACTCAGTATTGAGCCTACTGTTCACACGCTTCTCTGTAATTAAAAGTTCCATCATCAGCATTTGTCAGCTTTGTTGAAGGGAGAAAAACACAGACTCAAAAATATCACGATTGTTTTGTCCAAAATGTTGTAGGTGTCTCGTAGCCATGTCTAAATATGTTGTGGGTGTCTGAACTCCCACGATATTCACAGAGGCTGTACCCCTGCTTTTGGGGGCACCAGCGGGATATTAATTTCCTTTGTGCGAGGGCTTTAAGTTGACCCTTCTCATGTTCTCTTCATACAGCCCCCAACAAGCTTCCTCTAATTAGTCCTTTATGCGTACAGTGTTAGAAACCCCCCTTGAATACGGAATTCATTTTTTTGCCACTTCAGTCCGGCACTGGAGTAAAATGAAACAAAAATGTATTCTTGAAATGTCTTTGGGTAGGAAACTTACCAAACCACAATGAACTTGGCCATATAAAGTGGTGCTTGTTCTGCATCCTTGTAACATTAGTTGGCATATATATCATGAGCCAAGACTTACACAGGCACATCTAATATATTTGCACTGATGCCAGGGTCCTATTGTGAATAGTAAGAAGATAATCCTTTTAAAAATGTGCTTTTCTTTTTTGACAATATTTTAAGGTTCATTGCACAATGTTACAAAACACTTTTGTGTGACCAATTCACTCTAAATGAACTCCGAGCTCATAGGTTCTCTGAAACTAAGCAGGTTGAGCCTGTTTAGTGCTTGGATGGGTGCCCTCCAGGACTTGCAAGGTACTGTATTGTAAAAGTGGTCCTGCGAGGTAGCGAGATGGCAGCACTGCATTGAGGTTATCTGGGAGTTGCCGGATTTTCTCTCAAATGCCATTCATTCATGGAATTGGCCAAACAATGGAGGAACCCTCCCGAAAAGGAATAATTCGACTTTTGACTCAATGAGGCTTTTTGTGTAAACAATTGGTATTTATTTAAATAAACAAAGCACACGGACTTAACAAATCCTGAAGAGTATTTCTCATCAGCAAAGCTTGCCTGTATAATGAACAATCGACAATATTACTATGATTCGGATGAATAACTCAATTAGGCTTTCCTAGATAAATAACATTATTGCACTGTATTATTAGCCACATTCGAGGTTTTTTTTGGGTTAGATCGCTAAATGTGTCGTTAAACCCACCACCACCCGACACAGCCAATTAGTAAGGTTTGTCACGTAAACAAAACATGCCAATTCGTTACTAGTACAGCACCAACGGTGTGTTGGAGAGTAAACCCACAACATTTACAATTCCAGTACAACGTTTCGCCAGTAATTACAACTAGCATCATCAGGCGACAGCCAAATTTTGTGGAGAAATTCTGTTTCAGGTGGATTTCGTGAATGTTGTGGGTTTACTCTCTGTACTAGTGTAGTGTTGCTCCGGAGACACTTCGTAGGGGGGGGCACGTCTTTATTATCCACACGTACCCTAACTACTATACATAAATTCTTCATACAGTTGATCTTGAGGACCTCTTCCACTTGGTATATTATACACCTCCTGTGTAGCGTGCCTAACCCGACTATGCTCCAGGTCCTCCGGCTATAATATACTATGTGAGACTACCTGACCTGACCCAGCCAAGGTACAGGTCCAACACTGACCTCACGGAGTTTCGGCCCTTAAAAGGACGGCGAAGCTAGGGGTTCAGAGTCCTACTCTAGCAGGTCTTCTTTCTTCAACTGGTTATCTTCAACTGCTCCGGTTTGCAACTGCTTCGGTTTTTAAACTGCCTGGACCTCTCCAGAAGTTCGCCTTATATCCGTTTCTCAGCCTGGGTGCCGACCTCCGTGATGAATGTTGGTGACCCCAGAGTCTCCCACTGAGGTCCGCATGTCTGCCGTTGCAGGTCAGTGCAGCCGCAGCCCCCCAGCCTTTGGCAGTGTTTGCGAGGGATCGTAGAATCCCTCAGCCCCGCAACTGCTTCAGGGCTGCCTGTCATTGCCTGCAAGTGCAGCAGCCCATCCATGTCGCTGCACTAGTAACGGATTGGCCACGTTTTGTTTACGTGACAAACCTTACTAATTGTCTGTGTCGGGTGGTGGCGGGTTTTAACGACACCACATTTATATTTACGCGATCTAACCCAAAACAGTACTCTCACAGATAATATTGGTCGCGAGAGCCTACGGTGTTAAACTTTATTATCATTATAAACCCATCGCTCTGCATTGCAGGGCTGTAAAGGTTAGCAACGTCTTGACTTGCTATTCAGAGGTTGCCTTTAAAACCGCCGTGACGAGGCACTTGAGCCAGTGGACACGTTTCTTGAAAATCTCTCCCGCGTCTGTACAAATTGCAACAACTAGCAAATATGCACATCGCATCGTGTGGTGGGGTAAAGTGTGGGTAATCCCCACCTCTTCCAAGACGTCTTCAGAACTCGTTTAAGTGGAGGCCCTTCCACTAGCAGCGGCGTGTCCAAGCATTTTTTTTTTAGTATTTACATTATATTATTGCTGCTATACATTTCCACATAATCACAAGCCACTTCGTTAAGATATCATTTGTGGCCAGATCGCTTCTGAAAAAGCTAATAGCTCAGCGGGCTTTACCTGTTAATATAAATAAAATAGTTGTTTTATTTGTACGTTTGTTGTAACGTTCTGACACGCCCCGACTGGACATCTGTGAAAAAGAGCTTCATGGCTCATCGGATTCCTCCAGTATAAAATTAATATTCGCATTATGAATTGCGGGGCTGTAGCTTTACCATCTTGTCTAATAAAGTAAATGTTTCATCAGACATTACCATTGTAATATATTGGGGGGGAGGGAGTGGAGGGGTGGTGACGGGAGCGGTACCTCGACGAGCGGGTAGGCGATGTCGTTGTAGATTTGCTCCGTGCTGCTCTCGATGAAGTAGGTGCCATCGAAGGTGAACTGTTTGGGTTCGTCCCCGGACCCGGGCTTCTGAATGAAGCACTGGCCCCTCGCCGTGTCCATACTCACGACCACCTTACAGCCCAGGTTCTTCTCGCGTTCGTTCGTGGGCCGACATCGAACCACTACCTTCACGGCCTCGGCCGACATGGCATGCGGCAGCCAGTGGAGGTGGTGGGGGGGTAGTGGTGGTTGGTGGTGGTGTGAGAGTGATCGATTTTGCTAATGTTCGCGAGAGTTGAATAGTATGTGTGCGTGTGTGCGTGCGACTGGTTAGCAAGTGAGTGACTAACGTGTGAAGCTAGTGGTCAATAGTTGGTGTCAAAGTGACCCAGGCGGTGCGTGAGATGCAACCGCTTTTGTTTACGCGCGATTGACTTAACCACTGGTTTGCGATGTCGTGTAATAGTAAGAGAGGCCAGCAAGTGAGTGTCGCAAGGCTCGAGCGAGAGGGACCTCGCCACCACCGAGGGTAAATGAGAGTGGAGGGAAACGAAATCGCTTGCGTTCGCTGATTACAAACGCGCCCCTTAAACCTTCACGCCTCGCGAGGCCGCGTTTGAGTCGCTACTCGCGCGCCTCCGCTATCAGAGACTGGCCGAATGTTTTTATCTATATTCAGGCGGCTACCCCGTTCGAGTTTACAAATTTGCACCCTTGTACATACACCGACGTGAGTATTGTGACACTCGTAGTATACGTTACACGTGGTCGTAACGCAATGTATTTACTGTGACATTAAAAATAAATGAGCCTTCGCAAGGCCTCCGCTTTCTGTTCGGCGAGCGGCTGCCCGGGTTCCCGTTTTGGCATCGCAGCTCAATCGCGACAATGCCGATAACAGTTCACGTTGCTAAAAAAAACAACTTTCGGTTATATAACACCGCATTTTAGAGGAATATAATAATCAGATATTGTGACGCCGTTACACGTTCCCATTCGCCAGGTTCCTCAACGCAAGTACCTTGAGCCGGGTGAAGGCGTCACGTCGCTAGGCGACCGCCCCGGCCGTCGCCTTGCTCACCGCCCATTGGTCAAACAGCGGACAGGCGGCACCGCCCATTGGTCAAACGGCGGACAGGCGGCACCGCCCATTGGTCAAACCGCGGACAGGCGGCACCGCTCATTGGTCACCCATCCCCACGCGTGGAGGAGGCCCCGGCCTGAAACGTCGCCTGCTTATATTACAGAACACTTGAACACTTCCCCCCCCCCCCCGCTTGAAGGCCATTGTTATTTACGAATGTGTTGTTTTCGTTATTTGATCTGAAACATCAAACGGCCGTTCTTCAGACTCTCTGGCCTTGTGATAATTGCCAATAAATATAAAAATTGTTATCAAGTAAATCCGCTCTTATTGCCCGTAGAAATTAATCAGTGGCCACTCGCGTGTTTTTGCGACCTTACCTGCCACCAATTTTCCCGCTGTCGGCAAGTGGACTAAACGCGCTTGGAGTGGACGCGCGGAGACGGGAAGAGAAAATGTATCGAGGTGAACAAACGCGCAAATCGGGGCCATCACTTTGACCTCAGAGGGCCTGCGAAGGGCGCAAGGGACCGTCCATAAATGACGCCACGCGATTTTTGACGATTTTTCACCCCCGCGTCACACGGCGTCACAAAAAGTCAGACCCCCCCCCCCTCAAATATGACGCCACAAAGCTCTGCCCCGCCCCCCCTCCCCCCCCAAAAAATATAAAACATGCTTCAAATCGCTTTAAACGATTGTCATTGTAGTGCGTATTGAATGTGGCGCTGCACTCTGATGTTGGTAGGAGAAAATATTTATTAAAAAGTTTAATTAAGTAGAACGCGTTGTCTATATTTAAAGTTGCGCATTTTGATGTGACGTCACATTTCTCAAACACGTTTTACCTGGAAAATTCATTTTCTGTTCGTTTGCATTTCGATGGAAACCAGAGGGCCTGGCAAACAGCCATGCATACCAAGGGTGGAGAGTCGCACTTTGCGATACAGGCAGCCTGGCACACCTCCGATTTGCACGGTTGGCTACGTACGGTGCGAAAGAAGTTCAACATATATACATAAGAGCCATGCCAATGTGGTCCACGTGGGTGATTTTCAACCATGCCAAACCAAAATGTAACGGCGATACTCTGGCATTACAAGACATATATTTGGTTTGTGGCGAAGTAGGTCTTGTGGTATGTACATGTTGAACTTCTTTCGCACCGTACGTAGCCAACCGTGCTAATCGGATGTGCGGGACAAGGATAAACTAAACACAAACTTTTAATGAAATTAGTTTTCAATGTAGATTTCTAAGTGCATAGCTCCAGTGGCTTCCTAATATCGGAAGAGCGTTCCAGACGGCCGTAGAAGCGCACCTGACAGCGCGCGATGCGATGATCGTCTTTGCTCGATGGCTAGCCAAGCTGCTGCTGCTAGGATGACCAGAGTCCACGTGATGGTAATGTTCCTTGACGAGATTAAACAAGGTACTGTGGTTAATTTATGGCAAGCACTTTGTGCGTAACGAGCGCGACAACACACTGTATTCGTTCAGTACCCGGAATCCATTCTGTTCGACAGCCGTCACTAAACCCCGAGACGTGTCATTCGCTGCATGATCCACATGCGTCTCAACTCTTTGTTGCGTGCTCATGTCGGGAGCACGGCACGGCGTTTGTTGTGGGGGGAAAAAAACCTCGCGCCTTCCGCGCCAGGTTGGTTCGGCACGGCCCCAGTGCAGTTTGGTTTAAAGTGTAGAATAAAAACCATGTTACTTTTTTCACCAAAATCTGTGACATCACGTGCATGTTGTGATTGAAAAAAATGACACACAATATCAATATTTATTTTATTTATTTTATTATCGTAAACATTTCTAAGTAGCCGAAAGCAAAAGCATGTTAACGTCACTTTCATTTGTCAATCTAAACAGCATTAATCCATGCAAGTATAAAAAAACCTGGATTCTTCACAATGCACCATCCAACATTGGCAATGGGAAGACATTAAACATAGAAAACAATGTGTTCTGGTTTCCTATATTGAATTTAATTCATATTTAAAACTTTTAAAACCTATATCGGTATATTATAGGAATATATCCGAAGACTATAAAGGTGCACTTGTAAATACATTTGTGGATTCAATAGGCCCAGGATGATAAAACAGCTTTCAACATCAATGAAACGATTCAAGTGAAATAAAAATGCTGTGTAGGCATAATTTACTTGCTAATAAAGCTGTGGACCTGCCACACAGTGCATGAGCTTAAATGGAAAGTAAATATTTGTTTGACTTCAATTTGACTCAGTAGAAAAATGGCAGTGATGTGTGAAAAGCGAGGAAATGCACCCGTATCGTTTGTAATGTATGGTACTGTGTACTTCAAATGGCAGAAGCAGCGGTTTGGCAGAGTAAAAAACACATCAGAAAAACAACCGGCGGAGTCTAAGAATGTCTGTTTAAAAACAGTAATCGGAAATTCCTAAGGACTAATTCTTACCATCTACAAAATAACAGCTACGAAACAGTATTTCGAAACTACGAAAAAACTACTACAAACATCTTGTAACAAAGCTAAGAGTTAATATAAAACATAAAAAGCCCTCTTCGGTGGTAACACATGGGCTCGCCTTTGAGAAAAAAATGGAATGCTCCATTACCAATTAAACATAAACACAGCACAAGTGTAATTAGTTGCGGAACACTGCGTTTTCAAGGTGTTTTTTTTTAGATTGTACGATCGTCTCCTTCTGCAAACACTTCTGGAGGCTGCCTTTTGCAGGCAGGCAAACTCAGACCACGCAGCACAAGAGCGCGTTAACCGCCATAACCACCTTGAAAAAAATATCCACTACTTAAAACCAACCGTACAGCACATCCGTGCCCGTACACCAAGGCCTCGATAACGCTATTCTGCCTTGCATTCTGCTCACACTTGAGGCTCAGTGAGGTAACACAAGTTGGGGTTGATGGAACTGTTCCCCACGACTGCAGGCTCAGGTCAAGTCTCCTAAACGTTTCACAAGGCTCCAGCAGCCTCTGGCTGTGATCGTAATTCTCAGAGGAAAACCAGTGCGCCTTACCACAAAATGCAAATCATCCATCAAGTTTTTGCTGTTGTTCGATACAGGGATTAACTTTTTGCACGCGTGGTCGGTCCATACAGCTGCTGTGCATCATGGCTATATACCCTGCTGGCTTCAAGACGAGGCAATGTCTGGCAAGCAGTGACACTTGGGGGGAGCATCGCTCCCATCTTAAAGCGATACACCAACCCCCCCAACGTGAGGGGCAGCTGGATCACGGTCAGACGACACCGTACCCATAACTGCTATATTTTCTTCCGACGCTGGCACTAGGCACGAGGGACTGCCTCTTGTGGCTGTTGGTGCTCGTAACTGTGTACGTACAGAGAACACTGTTTTGAGATAACATTGATCAAGTGTGATGGACGAATTAGAAAGAGTTTCCCCACACACAGTGGCACCGCCATGTCTACATCATTGAACGCACTAAAACATCTACACAAAACAATTTTGCGAGAAAACCACATTGCGATGTCATAATTCTGATCTTATAAAACACAGGGAGACCCCAATGATTTTGAATGTGACACAGCGGCACTCAAACAAGTGGTGATGTACAGATTTTATCAAGTGATTGTATAAAACGTCACTAAAAATTACATGCACAACACGCATGTACTCTTGACGCAATTATTAATCTGTACCCTCCTCCTTTGGCGCAATTCAAAAATAAATTTGCACCAGCAATTTATTTAATTAAAAATAGTCTTGTTACTTCTCTGGTGGACTCTTATCGTCTCTCTTATCCATATGCTCCTTTTTCACAAGCGCCTTCATGATCCTACGCAGGGGCAAGGGAAATTGGACACAGTGTTACTTTTTTTAAACGAAATTTGTAACAAAAACATTCGTCATCAAGTGTTTACAGTAAGTCCCTGGGTTCCGGAAGACCCGACTTACCGAAATCCGACTTTATGGAAATGCTCCCACAAATCATGTTACTTTATTTTTTTCAATATGCAAGGTATAATAAGCCTCGCCTTATGCCTCGCTCCACCAAAACGCCGCCTTCACTGAGCCCGAGCGTCACTAGAATTAAGGTCAATGGAATTTTACGGAGCGTTACGCAATTCTTTTATTTTTGTAGCATACAGTACTTATGCTACAGGACTGTACGATATAGTACTGAGAGAACACGAACTATTAATCAGGTAGAGGAGGCACAACTATTTCCAGCTATGGGATTTTATCTTGATTTTGGGGGAAAATTGTTCAGTTTTTGACATACGGAAAATTCGGGTTACGGAACGTTCTGGAGAACCAAACACTTCCATAACCCGGGGGACTGCCTGTATTTACGTCAGTCAACGATAACAATGTCAGTGAATGAAAACTTCAAAGCGTGACGATTACGTATTTTTTTATTTATTCTGAAACCAATAGTTTTACGCACAGCATGGCTGCGGTCACAGAACAGAGACACGGTACTGTGACGAGGATCAGATTATAACTTGCACAGTTGTAACCCACAACCCAGATAATGAAGAATTAACCATGATTGCAGCTAATTCATATTCTTAGCTCTTTCGGTAAAGTCACGTCGAAGGGAAACAATAAAATAATAAAATATATATAACACAATAAAAATTCTCACGACGTTTCGACCATAACACAAACGGTCGTCATCAGGTGTGTCGGTTTGCATAAATTTCTTTTTAAACGGTGTATTTATTTATAAAAAACGTCAGCGCCACGCGCAGCGATTTAGCAGTTTATTTAGAAGGACTAGTCCATCTATGTTCTGAAAAGAGGAGGGGGGAGACGAAAAATTAATGTATGCTGTCTGAAAGCCACTGTAAGCGTGAACAATCAATTAAGACCTGAAATGGTTTATCAAATCTTTCCAATGATTGCTAAGCCAGAATCCATCTTCTCGGTTGAAATTGTCTCTGTGCTTGTATATGTGGATAGCCTCATGAACGAATCTCTCATGGTAGCCAGATGGCTTACACAGAACCTCTGTCTTGGAACAGTCAATGTCATGTGAGCCTACTGAATTATAACAATGATCTGCCACGGCCGAGGTGTTGGTCCTACCGTGTTTAAGGTCTGCTTTGTGTTCACGAATGCGGTCCGAGACATGGCGTTTGGTTTCTCCAATGTAACTACTACCACCGAGGCAACTTAGTTTGTAGATACCAGGGTACTGTATGTCCGGAATCACATCTTTTACAGACGGAACCAGATCACGGATTTTATGTAATGTGTTGAAACGGACCTGGATCTTGTGTTTATTCAAGATTTTGGAGATCTTTTTAGTGATCCCCGCAATGTAGGGTAAAGTGATGGTTTTGAAAGGCTCCTCAAGAGGGTCCTTCTTCATGGTTTGAGTGATAGCTTTGCGGATTGTATAGTCGGAGTAACCATTAGCCTTAAGAGCTTGGTGTACGTGCTTGAGTTCACTGCCTATGTGTTCCTGGTCGGATATGCATTGGGCTCTATGATACAGAGTCTTGAGAGAGTTCTTCTGTGATGGATGGTGGTGGGAATCCGGTTTCAGATAAGCATCC